CTGCATTGACCCTGGCCTTGATAAAACACAGTGGACCAACACCAGCAGCTGACATGGCACCCCAGATCATACCTGACTGACAACTCTTCTCATTGTGCAGCGTTTTCTGCCACACAGACTTCCCACTGAGGTGCCTTGATGCAGCACTCTGGGAACAGCCTGTTCGTTTACAAATGTCTTTCTGTGTCTTACCCTCTTGCTTGAGGATATCAATGATGGCCTTCTGGACAGCAGTCAGGTCAGCAGTCTTACCCATGATTGCGGTTTTGATTAATGAACCAGGCTGGGAGTTTTTAAAAGCCTCAGGAATCTTTTGCAGGTGTTTAGAGTTAATTCATTGATTCAGATGATTGTAAGTCGTTTAGAGAACCTTTTCATGATATGCTCATTTTTTGAGATAAGGATTTTTGATTTTTCTTTATTTTTTTTGCCAAAATCATCAATATTAAAACAATAAATGCTTGTACTACTTCAGTTGGTGTGCAATGAATCTAAAATATATGAAAGTTWAATGTTTATCAGTACATTACAGAAAATTATGAACTTTATCACAATATGCTAACTTTTTTGAAAAGGACCTGTATATTAGGTTGACTTCAAAAGTTAATTAGTTGCAAATTCATTGATTATTACTCAGAGTTTAGTTAATCTATCCACTGGTTCAGCTTTTAAAATCTGGTTCATTATTGGTATTGGCTGATGTCCTATTGTGTCTTTGTTTAATCATACTGAAATAACGTGTGCCACGCCCTGTGATGGACTTGTGACATCCAGGGTGAACCCCACCCCTGGCACAGTGACAGCTGGACATGTGACCCTCCTAACCTGGACAGGAAGAAGTGGGTACAGCTGAAGGATGTGCGGTATGGACCATAAAACAGTCTGGGTGGATCTATGCTCTATTGTCATTCTGGTCAGTGTTTCTTTCACAGTCTCAACAGATGAGTGTCCCAGCAGTGCAGATTTATCAGAGATTGTTGGTTTCAGAAATGAAAAATCGAATCCTTTGGATGACAGCGAGGGAGATGATGAAGGTAGGTTGAGTCCAGATGGGGACTGGAATCCAGCTGTGCTTTTTCTGTCATCTGAGGAGGAAACAAGATTAAAGCCAAAATGGAATATTTTTACTTTATGGGTGGCATCAGAATGAATGAGTTGTGCACTGCATGCGTGTGGAAGTTTTTTTTTCTGTAATGGGAAGCCTCAAATTTTAGATTCAAGAAAAGAAAAAAAAACTTTCATAACACGAGGAGGACATTAAGAACAGTGCAAAAAAATCAGCACAGATTCTTATGATGTTAAAGTTTGTCATGAAAACAGAACTAAARCTAACATTTGGCATGACTAAAATACTTCTTTAACAGGGGGCAGAGCTACATGGGTGGCCGAAGTGGCAAGTGCCACGTTTGGCACCTGACTGACCACCCCAGGTGCTACCCCCAAACAACTAACCAGTGTGTGGGGAGCTTAGATTTTGCTTTTAATTTTTGTTAAACAGTGTTCTATGATAGTACTGTACARATTTCAGCTGTGAGTTTTTAAAAATAGCAGAATTACACCCTTTGTAAAAATAGCATTAGTTGTTAGCTTAATTTGGGATTAGCATCAGCAATCGGCATGTGATCATTCTTAGGTACTCCACAACAAATTTAATCTCAACAAGTCTAAACATGCCATGGCTGAACTATAGCCATTTAAAGCTAGCTGTGGTGATCATCTTGAATTTTTTGATCAGCATTTATTATAGATGGTTTTTAGCTACTTATGTTCTAAYATAAGATAACAGCTGGATTAAAGCCGTTTGGTATAAGCTGTAACAACCAGCTTGAATTTTCAAATCCAGACTGCTTTTGTTTATTTGGGCCCCGCCATAAAACACCTCRACCACCCCAGTGCTGCCCCTTGCAAAAAAAAGTCTAGCTCTGCTCCTGTTGTTGTTCAGACAAGCTTTTAGCTAAATGTAATACTTAATGTTTTATTAGTCCTATTAACTTGTTTTATTGTATGCTTTTATGTTTATGTTGAACATTTGTATTTTTTTCAGTTTTGCTCCCTGTGAAGCACTTGGTGATGTCTATCTGCGAAAAGTGCTTTACAAATAAAGCTGATTTACTTACTGCTTGGGTTGCAGTATTTGCTCGTACATTACCAACTGTCACTTGAGCATATTCACATGTCAATAGTTAAATAGGCTGTAAACCATATWCAGTATGCCTTAGCCAATTTAGATAATGACAGAGAGCTTAAAGCCCACAGAAGTAACAGAAAGAAACAAGGAAAAGACACTATTTGCTTGTTGCAAAATTCAACAAGTTTAGCATGTTTTATTTCCTAWTATCTTGCAGCTTATACTGAGGACAACAGGAATAAGGCATGATAGAAGCAGGATCACATCAGGAGGAAGATCAAAGGGAAATACAGAACACAATTTTGTTCCAGCAGGGGTCACCAGTATAAAATCGAACAGATGTTAACGAAACTAAGCTGCAGTATTTAGTGACTTATCTTTTGACTGTACCGTAGAAGAGGAGGAGGAGGAGGAGCACAGGGAGCTCAAGATGAAAACCACAGAATGATTGTGATCTTGACTTTGACCCAAAGGACAAAACAATAGAAGTTCAGCAGACAGAACATAGGTAAAAGAAGACAAGATGAGTCTTCTGATCTGAGGGAACTGAAGATTCCCTGAAGATCACTGAGAGGAGTTTTACCTGTTCAGAAGATCAGAAACACACACTGGCCAGAGAGGCTTATTTATCTTTCACTGCTCCAACATG